ATTGAATAAATGCTTAATTTGCAGAAAGGAATGCTATAGAACATTTTAAGGAATTCAAAGTCTTTCCAAGATGTCAATTTTCAGAGGAACGTACCTTTGATTGTTGGATTCGTGTACTTCAATTTCAAATTTAAAAAAAGTATTTTATGTTTAACTTCTACTCTTTAAACGTTATGCCACTTTGTAAGATTCCTATCTTTTAAGTAACAGCTAAAGTTGAGGAACCTTAAGAACTGATAACCGAATAATCGCTTTAGTTCGGTAGACAGAGTACAGATAATTAAGAAGGGTTAAATACCCTTTATTATTCCAAATAAAATTCAAAAAAGACCCCTTTTTGGAGTTTACAATAAAGCCTCTACTATGGCTTGAACTCAGGAAACTAAGAAATAAAACTTGATTAATCTTAACTAAAAAGATATAGTCGAAGATATCAAGATTTTAGTAGAGTTGGCCCCTTAACGCTACCTAACGGCGAAGCTATCAAGGGCCTAAGGTACAGCCGAACGTAATAATAGCTTAAGAGAGAGAGAGTAAAAACGCTAAAAAGCGAACCCGCACTGCTCAGAATATCTTGCTCTCCAACGAAGTCAGTAGAACTTCACAGTTAAATACTCCTTCTCCTCATTTGCATTTGACCGGAATTCTGAAAATACGTTCTGGCCAAAAGTTGCAAGCTGAAATTCAGGGAAGACAGGAAATTAACTTTTAACTAAAAATTAATTGTTAGATGAACTAAGATAAACTTTACAACTTAACATAGCAGTAAGCTAATTGTCAATTGTTAGAATAAATTAGTGTCACTTTTGCATAATGAAACTTGGCAATGGCAAAAAAACAAACCACCGCCAAACGATATATATTGGCGAGAAAGGATTCTATTTATGTTCAGCTGCAGAATTCTTAAAAAGATTTTGTGCTAATGTTGTATTTCTGCTTCATTTTTTTCAGCATGTTACCTTTTTTATGGAATCTGCTCCTGATAATATTGCCTTCTAGACTTGTAATTGAATCTCTTACAAGTTCTATATTTCAACACCTCGATTTAAATGTTTGTATAGACTGTTAACTTTGATTTGCATTCTATCTATGTTCTATCTGAGCTAAGCAAACTCTCGAACTTGTTAAATAAAAATTTCGTAGCTATTGTAACTTACGATTCTTTCATAAAACTGTGCTAAATAGAGGAGAGTGCACTCAAACACCTTAACTGTGTTAAATACACGACATATGAACAACAACTAATATTAATTTGCGGCAATAAAATAAATCACCCCCGTAATCGTATGGCAACATAAAGCCCCTCTCTGTCACTGACATAAATTTACTAGAAATGTTTCCAAGAATTTAATTAAAATATCAGCTTTCCGATCTTTCAAAACCTATTATTATGTTTACTCTGAACTGTGATTTTTAATTTCCTAAATGTTGTCTCAAAAGACACTTTTCATAAATCTTTATATAAAAAATGCCTGAAAGACATTCTTTTCCAATTAAGAGTTAATACTATTATTTAGACAAGCAAAAAAGGAAAAATGAACAAACTGTCTCTAATCCTTTCCTGCTATACTGCAAAGAACAAAATTATTTAAAATTATACTTCTTCCATTGTGTACAGAGGCATTTAAAAAGACGCCAGTCATGTAAAATGTAGTAAAGCGACTATTAAACAAAATGCCAGTGGCAAAACATTTTTATATCATATAATTTCTTTTTTTCAAACAAATATTTAAACACCAAAAAACTTCTAATACACAGTGAATAATACTTAGCTTTTCTCTAAGCAAATATTTAAGTAGCATTAATCTCATTTAACTATTTTTTTGTAGTTAATAAATAATTCTTTTCAGATGTAGGTTTTTCAGATAAAAGAGACGAAATTAGTTAAGTGAATTAATCAGTAAATAGGTTTATTATTTAAAATAAGTCCTTGAACGTTACGTGAAAATTTGAACAAAATTTAGATATGGTCAAATAAATATGCAGTGAAATTTATTATTTGAAATATATATCTTTACTATTTAAAACCAAATTATGTAAATATTAAAAATTTTAAATCATAACTATAAGTAAGGTATGAAACTTGTTAAGATACGAATAATGTAATCTAAATTTCTATTCTTACATGTTGCTAATTAGCTATATATTTGTAACTGTGTATTCAGATCCTTGAGTTTTATTTGCCTTACTCAATCAATTAACCTAATTGATAGGTTAATTGAGGTTAGGTTCCTATCAATTAGGTTAATTGATAGTAATCATTTTCTAATACGTATCTTAATCTATTGTCATGTTTACACAGAAACGTTATTTTTAATTTTCTAAATGGTGTCTCAAAAGACATTTTTTATAAATCATTTGCTTTTCCAATTAAGAGACAATGCTGTTATTTAGGCAAGCAAAAAAAGAAAGAGGATTAGACTATCTCTAATTTTTTCTTGCTGTGCAGCTTAAAACAAAATTATTCAGAACTATATATCTTTCATAGTATATAGAGGCAGCTAAAACGACGCCAGCGGTGTAAAATATAGTAAAATGGTTGATAAAAAATGAATCGTTACGCAAAATATTATGATCAAATTTTGAATGAAATTTTTAGTTATCTTTTAATAATTTTGTTTAGTTAAACAAACTACTCTAATTTTATAAGATTACAGAAAGAAGTAAGTAATCAATAAGTTTTCATTAAGTCTTAATCATAATTATTGATTCTTAGTTTCCGTTATTGGAAATAAAAGGATTCCTATAATCATCTGTATTAAGTGATGATTTCAGAAACGATATGCCAACAATCAGGGCTTATCTTCTAAAACTAAAAGTTCTGGAGCCCTATGAAGGAGGTCAATAAAGAATAACAAAAAAAAATAATTTTTTAATATAATTCATTAAATATTTTTTAAAAAATTTGGAAGCTTTCAGATTATACATTACGCCCAAAGGGGCGTTTTTTTAACGTTTTGTGGGTAACCTTTATTTATTAAATATCATGTTCTTCGCACTGAAATCATAAAATTCAGTTCAACAGCAATATTGCAAAATAATTTTAAAATGAGCGTATCTTTATAATTTTTGTTAAACAGTCTCACGCGCTGGAGATAAAAACGCTTTATTTTTCGGACACTGTTGCCATTCCTCGCTTTGAAATCGTCGAGTTTCTTAATCAAAAATTCTTTAATTTCTAACAAAACATGAAATAGATAATAAAACAAATTCCAAATTATGATCCAGATGACCGCTGGAGGATTACGTTATTTAAAATTTGATGACTCTAGGTATCATTGTTTTATCAGAATGCGAGAAACATACATACATTTTATGTAGATTTTTCATTATTTAATTTCTTTAAATATAACATAGGGCTATAATAGTTGGTGGCAGCAGTTTGAAAAGTGAACCGACATTTATCGTGAACCAACGCAAAATGCCAAAATGAAACTGATAGCTTTTCTGGGCTAACTCCCTTTGATTAATGTGAAAATAATTATAGAATTAAAATTAAAATTAAAAACATAAAGATATAAATAAAAATTTAATAAATAATTAAATTAATGATAGGCAACTAAATAATGAAATAAAATATCAGATATCCTTTTATTTGCAGTTTCAAATAAAAGGGAGATTTTATTTATAAATTCTGGAATTATATTTTCACACTAAAACTAAGAAATAGCTTAGCAAGGCTCCGGCTGAATTTTAGCCCTGAATATATTGTATAAAGTACTATTCAAGGGATGATGAATGCAAAGAAATACATGAAACAACAACCGTGAAACGATCTTTTCCCAACATACCAATGAAAAAATTTAAATGCTTAAGAAACCCTAATGGGAACAGAAAAAATGGTAGAAAGATTATCAGAGTATGGATAAACGTTTAACGGTAGATGTGTAGGTATAAAAACAATGAGAAAAACAGTGCAACACTTTTTCTGACCACAGTGCACTGTCCTTACAATCTTAACTAGTTAGCAGAATGTTCAAAACAGAAAATCCCCCGAATCCGAGGAATTATCTATAAGCTTAGAATAAACATAATGTTTTCTACCAGTGAACAATTTTATTCCTTGTTTATTAGTTACATCGTCTAAAAAAGTCTGCTGGGGCTCTTTTCTACGGCAAACTACTAATGTTGTACGTGAACGAAAACAAAAGCCACTTTTAGTACTTTCACGAAAGAAAATTAAAAAATTCATTCTCACTTCCTGGATAATTCTTCTTCCTGACCTTCGCCATCAACCTACTCTGGAGATTAATTATAGGCTATATAGAACAAAATTTTTGTTTTTCTTTAAGTGTGACTATTTATAGTTTGTAAACATTTAAACTGAAAGTCCAGAGTCACCACTATGCTAATCCATGTTGGATAGGTTTGCGTGTTCTGCATCACGAGCAAATTTTCAGATTATTCCAGTTATGCATTTGCCAAAAGAAAATATTAGTTCACGTTAATCTTCGGGTACTGGAATCATGACATGTGACAACACGATTCAAACCTTAACAAGACTCGTATGTTTCTTTGTCTTTTGTATCATACTGAAGAGATTTATACGGTAAACATGCACAACAAATACGTTCCACAAATTACCAATTGTTAGTAACATTTACTGTCAATTTCATTTCATTTCATAACGCTTGTGAACATTTCTGGTACTTTTCGTCTGCACATTCAATTTTAATGATTTTTTTAATAAACTTGTCTAAGAAACACCGCCTGGATAAGTACCAAGTACTTTACTTCTTTTAATACAAATTTAGTATCACCAACACTCGTATCATTATTTTAACAAAATGGAAAGCATTTATCAATAAAAGAGATGTTTCTCAAATCGATGGAAAAAAATATCTGTCCCAGCTTAGAACATTATTTTATATTCTTCGAATTAAAGATAAATTTTTGTAAATTAAATAAAACCCTTCTATAAACCAAGAGAAAACATATATATGTTATTAAGCGTTTTTGATTTGAACAGTAATCACTAGACATTTACAAGGGAAAAAAAATCTGATTTTGAAAAGTCATCTATTTATTAAACACAAGGGTATAATTTTAAAATATAGTTTCGACGGTTCATATTTCACAAGGCAGAATTTTCAAATAAAAATCTTTTCCCATTTTTATTATAAAGTATTAAATAGATGCATAACAAAATGCATACCGTACATTGTATGAGATTTCAATACAATATTTATATAAAGCTAAATTTCTTGTCCAGCAAGAATAAAACACTTAAATTGAAGTTTTTCACAAAACAGATTTCAGATGAAACTGTTTACAACAGAGTGTTAATTTTCTGCTGGAGTATTAAGTTCCGTCCTTTTTTCCACCATTAATGGAAGTTCTTTAACGCTTAAAAAGGCATTGCCTGGAATAAACTTGAGAGGTTCCTAATGAGAAATAAAAATTCATGAAGAAACAATTTCAAACATTTTCATACGACAGTAAAAATACATAGTTCTAATTTATTCAAAACATTTTAAGTACTGTTTCTTCTACATTTGTAAAATTACAAATATTATTTTCCGAAAAATAGTATTTATATGTAGCATAAAATAAAATCGAGCGTTTCATAGCATCAACCCAGTTTTCTCGCTCTTAAAGTCATTTATAATGCAAAAAAGTAATAAAAAAGAGTAAAAAAACTGTATAAGAAAATTTTTTGACTTTTAAAAGTTTAAACTTATTTCCATAACTTACAAATTACCTGCCAATATAGCTTAATTACCAAGTATTTTAACTACATCGAGTGAACAATGGGTGATGTTTTGTTGTGGTGGCGCCATCTATCGAGGTGAAGGTCATCAACCGAAGTTTTCTGGATTTTGGTATTGCTTATATTTAACTATCTATGTTTTATAAATATTTGCATTCTAATTATATAAGAGAAAACGCAATATGTTTTCATAATATAGCCTTTTTAACAGACCTTTAAATTACGGAAACAAGGTACATCCTAACTTTCCAAATGTTATGAGAAATGTTAACACTACAATCATATCTTCATATTATGACTAAGATTTTAAGTACTTCTATTTACTTATTTATTTTCATTTCTTTAAAAACTTGATCCTGTGCTCGTTTCGTATACTTTTTCAAAAAAAAATATTCAGCTTATCTTTACAAAATTTGTGACGATTTTATAAATTATGTCATTTAGAAATAATGAGAAGGATTTTACGTTTCGGTCCAAAAGAAATAAAATTATCCTTTTTTTACAAAATATTTCGAAAAGGTAAAACTTTTAACAATTTTTTTAAAGTTTTCCGCCACGTGTATTTATAACCTTAGGTATTATTAAAGAGGCGACCTATTTATATCAATAAGAAAATCTGCACTTTGAAAAGTTTTTAGTCAGAGTATACTCAAAGCTATGAAAAAGCGAAATTTGAATGGCTGTATAGCTTCACTTATTACCAAATATATATTATATTAAAGATTCCCTGCATTATAGTTCGCAACGTCTGTAGTGACCTAGTACACAACAGCACAATTATTATTTGGGTATTTAATAAATATAAGCTTTAAACGTTATAGAAATTGCTAGCATATGACGCAGTTATACAAAGAAAGAAACAACATAAACAAAATTATATCATTCTACTACTGAAATATCGAAATCGATTATTTTCAAAGCATGTGAAGCAAATGGTAGTTACATAAGATATTCCTTGGAAATAATTTTGCTTTCCAGATGGCAGTGGTATGCATTTGCTATCTTAAATTTCCAGCCCTAGGTTATGCTTGATTGTATTTTGTTGTATGTACTGGTGGTGAAATTAATGTTGTTCTTTGATTCTCCTTTTTCTAATACGTTCAGTATTGTCCGTTTTCCAGCAATCGATAACTTTAATTTTTATTTAATTAATCCACTTACAGAAGCAGTTCTTCTAAATATATTGTTTTTATTTGCTAACTAGGTGTTTGGATTTTGTACTTTTCTCACCCCTTGTTTAACAAAGTATTATTTTGTATCGTTATCAACCTTAAAGCTTAAGTTTTATTTCGATTAGTTGTCAACTGCATACGTTATTTATAAACTACTGTAAATTCTTCAAACTATATTATTTGCAATTATTAACATTTGATTTAATCTATTATTTTTTTACTGTTCTGTATTAATAAAGTTCTTATAGATACAAAATCTTGACTGGAGATAAATCACCAATTATATTCTCTAGTTGTTCTGTTATGAAATTTATTTAATTTTTTTTAACCATCAGAATTTTTTCAATATGCAGGATGCAGAACAAGAGAATATTTCTTCCCCATCTTCGTAAATAAAGTGCATTGAAACTTCACTCGATTTAAATGTCTTTATTCAAGTTATCGAACTTTTATGAGAAGGGAGAACAGAACTCGATAAGACACAGTATGGGATGTGCTAAGGTGAAAAATATTAGCAGGGTAGCAAGACAAGTGAAAACTATTGGCGAGGACAAAAGGCGAGAATTTATGACAACAAATCTCACAAATCAAGATGGACCGCTACCACACTTTCCCCTGATTGCAAAAAATATCTTAAACATTCGTTTCTACCTCACATAGAATAAGCGAAATACATTCATTCTTTTCCCCTATGAAATCTAGATCTTAGGTTAATGGACTTTTTCTCTACCATTTTTTTAGAAGATTCTTATTTTTAGCGAAAAGATTCACAATCTTATCTTAGATAAAATAGATCATTGTAATATTATTTTTGACGTTTCTCTTTCATTCTGTATGGGTCAGACTTGAAGAATCGATTCCGATTTGCACCAATTTTATTAACAATGCACACAAAGGAAAATCGTAATGCTTTTGCGATTCTGTATTTTCTAATAACGCAACAAAAATATAGCAGAAAAATACGTAATAATGTTTATTTCTACATATGCTAACACCAAGCACTAAACATAAATTTGCATAATTATGTTTTTAAAATAACTTTGACTAAATAAAAAATGCTTATACACATGATATACTTACTTCTGTGGTTTTTGCTTTTTTGAACCTGAAGTTTCGCAAAATGTTAGCCATGCATAACTTAATTTCCATCAGCGCAAAACGCATACCTAAGCAGTTTCGAGGTCCAGCTCCAAATGGTAAGTATGCATATTGAGGATGACTTAGTTTACCTGAAGCATCTCTAATCCTAGAAATAAAATATAAAAATAAACATCATTTCATACTTTTATCCAATTTGATTTTATATTTTTATCTAGCTCTACTTCATCAGTGAACAAAGTCACTGATTAAGAGTATGATGCATATCTATCACTAAAACGAATATAATGCAATATAAATTGCCTCGTCTCTATGCATAGAAAGCACTTAGGAACTTATTTAGAAAAACAATATTTTGAAAATGTTTATAAATCTTAATTTAGAATCAGTATATAAAACGTATTTAGTATTTAGAAAGTATTTAGAAATCCTATTTAGAAAGATAATACTTAGAAATTCTATTTAGAAAGAAAGTATTTAAAAATCTTATTTAGAAAGAAAATATTTAGAAATTCTATTTAGAAAGAAAGTATTTAGAAAGAAAGTATTTAAAAAAAATAATTTTTTAAATCTGTATATAGATCGTATTTAGTATTTAGAAAGTATTTATTTCTATTTAGAAAATGCGATATATTATATATACTTATTTGGGACTGCTCACATTTCGCCAAAAGTGCTTTAAAGAGCAAATACAAAATTGAAAGCAAATTGCAAAGAAATTGTGAAAACGAAATCTGGTGCAAACTTCAAACATCTGTTGTAACATTCAAGCTGTCGTACACCATTTGTTATTCATGTTCAAGAAATGTTTCAAATTAATCACTGTCTTGTTTCCTTTCCCATCTTCTACCTCTGCTATCACTTTTCCCTGACATTTCGGGGCATGGGTTGCTATGCAATTCTTAATCCTCATGATGTGCCCTACCTCCCCCCCCAGAAGGTTGTCGTAACATTTACGGGACACCATGTATATGTGTAATGTTTCGATGGTGTATATGGCTTGGTGATTCCGTAACTGCGAACGTAAACCGAGAGAGTCTTGTAAATTGAAATGATTGACTTGTAGACTGACGTGACCTAGTTCAATATAATTTTATTATTAGATAAAATATATTTGGAGATACATTTACATCACACAGAATTATGGATGCAGTATGCACCCTACAATTTCAAAATTTAGCCCATTTTTAAAAAAATGGACGATACAGCGAATCGAGCTGTGCGTGGAAGCTAGACCAGAAAAGAACGGCGAAAAAGAGTATTCCAAGTTCCAAGTTCCGCTGGATGCGCCGCTGTAGACTGAAGTGGTATTTACAGTAAAATTTTTCTTATATCTGATTAGCATACACTACATGCATTGCGGAAGGTTAGAATACATAATGCGGAATTAATTTTCAAATATTAGAGTTTCGAAAAGCTATTGCTATTTTAAAAACAGAGAGGAGAAAAAGTCCAAACTAAAAACCAATTTTTCAAAGACCAAAAGTTGAAATTCAAATGAACTTCATAAAATCTGATAAATGTACAATAAGAATATTTTAAAATGTAAAAATTAAAATAAGCCATCACAAGAAAAACCAAAAAAAATATAAAAGAACAAGAAAGGAGAGGATTCCAATCAACTTCGACACAACGTCGTCAGGAAGAGGTATGACGAACTTGGTATTTTAAGGGCAAGTTTTCATTTTTATTAAATTCTTTTTGAAATTAGAAAAATCATTTTAACTTGGAAGATATTTTTAATGATTTTACTTTGTATTTTTGCGATTTTCCTTCGCTTTGAGGAGGACCAGAATTTTCGGGTTAAGTATTAAGATTAAAAAATATATTGAAGTGGTTCATAAGCTAATTCTAGATACAGAATAGTAAAGATTTTGTCTTGGAAATGGAACTGTAATTAAGTTCGACATACCTCCTCCTGACGACGTTATGTCGAAGTGGATTGCATTCCTCTTCTTTCTTATTCTTTTATACTTTTTTTTGTTTTTCTTGTGATTGTTTATTTTAATTTTTACATTTTAAAACATTCTTATTCTACAATTATAGGATTTTATAAATATTTTATATTTTATTTATTTGAATTTCATTTTTAGATATTTGCGAAAAAGTATTTCTAAATTCGTTATATATATATATATATATATTTCCTAAATAATATTGATTAATTGATTATATTATCTCCTAAGTAAAGTAGAATTATATATATATATATATATATATATATAATACTTCTATGCACAAATTCCAATAACTTTTTAATTGCAATAGGTTTATATTAAACGCAGTCATAACTAGAATAAATGAAATTGAATTCTTTGTTATATTTTTCACATTAAAGATATGTAGACGGTGGAGAATAACTATCGCTAATCATCGATTATCCGTTAAATGAATTTTACACGTACTTTTTGTGTTATTATCTGAAAATACAACTACAACAACTGCAATGTAAAATATTTCTTTTATTATTTTCATTCTCATATATAAAATGTAAAAAGTGTTCGCTACGACTAAATTATCAAACAAAATCCACAAATAACTGTCATTCTACAATATTTAATATACCTTTCAAATTATAAAGAAACTTTACACTTTAGGCACAATGACATGCAAAGTCAATATATCAATTCACCCTCAAAACATTCACAAAATCGTTTCTTTCATCTCTTATCATCTTCAGCCAAATTCATGATGCGAAATGCACAGGAAACTAAGATAATTTCTTTAATACAAACTGAAAATACACTGCTGGCAATTAAAATTACAACACCGTGAAGGAAAGAAAATACAAAAAAAAAAAAAAAAAAAAAAAGATATTTAATGTACTTCAGCAATCAATAACCAGATGTATTGAATGGGTGACAGATCTGGAGACCGGCAGACCAGAACAGCAATCGAATATCCTGTGTATCGAGGAAGGTCAGAACAAGATGTACAACATGTGGTCTTGCATTATCTTGTTGGAAGAAATGGCGTTTGACATCGAAGATAGGGCACAATCACTGGTCCTAAGATGCCAGAAATGTACCAATTTGCGTTCAATTTACCGTCGATCTGAACCAGCGATGTGCGTGTCGTGTACCCAATGGCTTCCCAAACCATCACACCATGTGCAGGGAACCTATGCCGATATCGAATGCAAGCAGGCGACGAGTGGTCTCATCGGAGCCTCCAGACACGTATACGGCTATCAGAGTACTGCACGCAAAACCGGGACTTGTCTGAAAAGAAGACATTATGCCACTCTTGTATCTAGCTTTGTCGTCCGGCGCACCACAGTCGCCATCTCTCTCTTTGCTGCATTGGCAAGGGAAGCCGAAGTAATGGTCGCCTTGCTAATAGTTCACGCTGCTGCTAGCATCGTCACACCGTACGAGCGGATACTGGGCGTGCTGTAAACATGCCTATTTCCTCACTAAGGTCCCAATCACATTATGTTTCACCTACGCGGGACTTCGCGTCGAAAGGGACAATCCTAAGAACCCGCACATTTTTAGGAAATCCACGCAGCTAGATTACCATTTTCACTTACTACAAAGACTTGAACGCCAAACAGTAATCGATTATCGCTCAGATTGGGATCACATCATCCTTAAGGAGCAGAACTTTCGTTTGATTGGTTGATCTCTATCCGGAACAAAGCTCCAGACGAGACATTTTCGGTGAGGTTTGAAAAAAAAATCCCGCGTAGCCGCTACATCGTTTCCGTAGCTAGGCGGGACTTCGCTTCCATCGGAGCTCTTTTTCCTATGAATCCTACCTTTTAAACCAGTGCTACCAGAACTTCGTTTCTCAGAAAAGTTCCGCCTAGCAGGGACTGTCGCCAGATGTTTTGCAGGGTTGACCTCACAATATGTCTGTCCACTCGGGCGCTATTCTAGGGAGGGCGTTGAGATCCTTCATGCCGTTCGTTATGACCCTCAGCCACCCACTGATTCCATATTCGCATAACAGTGATTGGAAGTCGACCAGTGCGACGGGCGATATCACGATACGATAATCCACACTCTCGATAGGCAGCAATCCTGCCTGTATCGAATTTCGACACTTGCTGGTAAGCATTTATTATTATTATTCGAGGCATGAAATGATATTCTGAGCAAACCCTGACCTTACAAAGCGCTTTCCGAATGTGAAATCCACTACACAACTTTTATTTTATGCAGTGCTTCAGATGTGGTTTCTCCCTCCTGCGTCGTCTAAATGCGCTGACATACTAATCGTTTGCATATCCCAACCTCTACTTCCTTTCATGTGGTTTTGACGTTCCTCGGTTCATTCCTTCCTGGTGCTGCAATTTTAATGGCAAGCAGTGTATATTGTTCATCTATAGGTTGCATCGACTGATTTTGTTTCTCATAAAGTGTCAATAACTTTCTTCCACATAATATATATATATATATATATATATATATATATATAATGTTGTATGAACTTAAATCCATTTAGTGCGAATACAAGTTATTATTACTTGCGCAATTGCTGCAAAGTTAGTTAATAATAATTTATTTCATAACAGTATTGATTAATTGATTATATTATCTCCTAAGTTTAATTAAAGTAGAATTATTTTAAAAGTGTGCATCCATACTGGTAAGTTATATTTTGAAAGATGTTTTGAAGTAATTTGAAAGCAAAATGTTAATAATATTTTAATGGGGACTGGAGTTAAATCATCACGAAGAATAATATATCAATTGTAAAAGGAAAAATTAAAACATGTAATTATTGTCATTGAGCGGAAATTAGTTGACTTTTCAAGGGGAACAAACCGACTCCCGTTCAATGAACAATAATTGATAAAAATACGTAAATATGAAAGTGTTTCGTCTTTACTCGAGTTATAAGTTAAAGCCAAACCGGCAATTCTAGTCAAGCCAATAATTTCCGCGAATAGTTGCTACTCAAAGAACTTATTCTCATGAAGTATTTTAGTTAATTCAATTTGGAGTAAAAATCAATTACTGTAGAGAAATCCTGTAAAACTCGAGTAACCGTCCCCAACACTATCATCTTTATGTATTTGAGTACTATATTATTTGTAGAAATTAAACATTGGAAATTGTCATTATGAAATCGAATTCAAAGTAAAGTTGAAATAAACATAGAAGATTATAGATAAAAATTATAAAAAAGATAAATAATGCA